ATGAGGAGATGCAAATCTTTCGCTACCTTGGATTGAAGATGAGTATCTAATGATCGCATGGCAGCTATAAAACTTCAAGAGGCATGGCGACCAAAGGAGTGCATGGATATTGCGGACGTTCTTAAAAAATAAACGGAACTGATGATGTCACTCATCATAGCCCTTGTTATCCTTTTCCCTTACTACTTTTGTCATCTTAGGACCTCGATCACGCTAGGTGCAGTTCGGCAATTGGAAGCGATCAAGCGAAACTTAACCTCCAGGATCAGCGGAATGGAGTACCTGGACTTCTGGGGGAGGGTTGAGTGCCTGGGTTTATTCTCACTGCAGAGGAGACCGGGTAGTTATGGACTGCACACATGGAAAATAAGAACAGACTGGCCCGTAACTTCGAAAGCGAGACCTTACTGAATTGTGAAGTACAAAAAAGAGGGAGACTGTGGCACTGTGTGCAGAAGGATACCCCATAACGCTCGGGAGCTCTGCTGGAATTGTAGACTCTGCGGTAAGGATCAAATTCCGTAGTGGAACATTTCTGTACTTCTGTTCTGTGTAGATGCTTTGTGTGCATGTGTTAGGCCGCTATTTATTCAGTTCGCTGTTTACTGGTTTGTTTTAATAGAGGCCTGTTGGTCTGTTGAGTCTATTGGAGCAATCAGCTGTTCCTAATAACAATACCTATTGAAGTATCAACAGGTAATCAACAGGTAATCAACAGGTAATCAACAGGTAATCAACAGGTAATCAGCAGGTAATCAACAGGTAATCAACAGGTAATCAACAGGTAATCAGCAGGTAATCAACAGGTAATCAGCAGGTTATCAACAGGTTATCAACAGATTACGCTATATTCACCCTTATCTCTGTTGACGCTGAAATTGTCAACAGTTCAGCTCCCTGTTTGATCCTGTCTCTTTTCAACAGATGGGAGTCAACAGTGGCATTGACGCGCGAGCGATGAAAAAATTGAGGAAAGTTAGTAAAAAGAAAGTGCGAAGATGAAAGGAAGGCGAGAAGGAAAGGAAGGAAGGAAGGGGAGGAAGCAAGGCGAGAAAGAAAGAAAAGGTAGGAAGGGGAGTAAGGAAGGCGAGAAAGAAAGATAAGGTAGGAAGGGGAGTAAGGAAGGCGAGAAAGAAAGGAATTTAGGAAAGGGAAGAAGGAAAGCGAGGAGGAGAGGAATGTAGGACGGGAAGGAAGGTGAGGAAGAAAGGAAGGTAGGAAGGGGAGGAAGGAGCAGGAATGTGCGGTGGACGTGTAGTAGAATAAGGAAAAGCGTAGGAGGAGAGAAGCAAAAAGTGAAGAGGATAATGAAACACCAGCAGCAGCACCACCACCACCACCAGCAGCAGTAGCAGCAGCAGCAGCACCAGCAGCAGCACCAACAGCACCAGCAGCAGCAGCACCAACAGCACCAGCAGCAGCAGCAGCAGCAGCACCAGCAGTACCAGCAGCAGCACCAGCAGCACCAGCAGCACCAGCAGCAGCACCAGCAGCACCAGCAGCAGCAGCAGCAGCAGCACCAGCAGTACCAGCAGCAGCACCAGCAGCACCAGCAGCACCAGCAGCAGCACCAGCAGCACCAGCAGCAGCAGCAGCAGCAGCACCAGCAGTACCAGCAGCAGCACCAGCAGCAGCAGCAGCAGCAGCAGCAGCAGCAGCAGCAGCAGCAGCACCAGCAGCAGCACCAACAGCATCAGCAGCAGCACCAGCAGCAGCTCCACCAGCACCAGCAGCAGCACCAACAGCACCAGCAGCAGCACCAGCAGCAGCTCCACCAGCAGCAGCAGCAGCACCAGCACCAGCAGCAGCTCCACCAGCACCAGCAGCAGCACCAACAGCACCAGCAGCAGCACCAGCAGCAGCTCCACCAGCAGCAGCAGCAGCACCAGCACCAGCAGCAGCTCCACCAGCACCAGCAGCAGCACCAACAGCACCAGCAGCAGCACCAGCAGCAGCTCCACCAGCAGCAGCACCAGCATTACCAGCACCAGCAGTACCAGCAGCAGCAGCACCAACAGCACCAGCAGCACCAGCAGCACCAGCACCAGCAGCAGCAGCAGCAGCAGCAGACAACCGTTTACCGTTGCTGGCGGAGGCGCGCAGGTCAGTGTGTGGTTGCCTGTGGAGGAGTGAGGGTGTCGCCTTTGCTGCTCCTGTCGACTTGATCTCGTGTGCCCCCTTTTTGAACGAACGAATTTAAACGTAGCAAGATGGTGAGTACGAGGCTATGCCTATAACTAAGGCCTACCATTAATGTATATTTCATGCTGAGTCACGGTTTTGTTAATTGAATTAAAGAGCCTAATTTAGGCCATGAGAATGCAACTAGCGGGACGCGCCTACCTCAAGAGTTGTGTTGCTTTGATTGTTTTCATTCATCGACATCGCCATTGTGGGTGGTATTTTACCATTTATTTTTATCGTTATGATATATTATCTCTTTTTGTGATAATTAATCTCATCGGATAGATTGTATTATTTATTAGTTAGATTTCACTCGTGTTGGTTCTGGAATGTTAACGGGAGCAGAGCCAGGCAACCGCGCGGCACCGTGACTCATCGTGCCGCGGCACCAGCTAACCTGTCGCAGGTTTAACCTGTTCAACATTGCCGTGCCGTATGATTAACCTGCTGTGGGAACCGTGTCGCAGGTTTAACCTGTTCAACATTGTCGTGTCGTATGATTAACCCGCTGTGGGAACCGTGTCGCAGGTTTAACCTGTTAAACGTTGTCGTGTCGTATGATTAACCCGCTGTGGGAACAGTGTCGCAGGTTAAACCTGTTAAACGTTGTCGTGTCGTATGATTAACCCGCTGTGGGAACCGTGTCGCAGGTTTAACCTGTTCAACATTGCCCTGTCGTATGATTAACCCGCTGTGGGAACCGTGTCGCAGGTTTAACCTGTTCAACATTGCCCTGTCGTATGATTAACCTGCTGTGGGAACCGTGTCGCAGGTTTAACCTGTTCAACGTTGCCGTGTCGTATGATTAACCCGCTGTGGGAACCGTGCCGCAGATTTAACCTGTTTGTAAGGGCCAATTTAGAGCCGCGAGATTTCAGGAATAAGTTAGAAAATTGTAATGTCGTAATGTGGGGACTGTACCATAAATTTATCTTAATTAATACGGGGGACTGTACCATAAATTTACCTAGAAGTGGGGGGAGGTATCATAAATTTACCTTGACACGGAGACTACCATAAATTTACCTCAATGTGGGGGACTGTACCATAAATTTACCTTGATATTGGGTATTGTACCATAAATTTATCTTGATGTTGGGGATTGTACCATAAATTTAAGTTGATGTGGGAGGATGTGCTATACATTTACCCGGCATTTAGTGCTAACCATACCATAATTTTTCCCGCATGTGGTTAAATGTATGCCCTCTATTATGGTCATCAATTATTATGCACTGGCCTCAAATTATGACCTGCACTTATAGTTATGCTGTTGCTGGTGCTTGCCGTTAACAGGGCGGGCGTAGCTGCAAGCTTCTGTTATGTCTTTAATGTAGGCTTTAGTTGTAACAAATGTATGTAACATAGATATGATGTATTCAATGCGTTTTTTATTTTGATTCTACAGTATTACTAATGATACCTAATGTTTTTAATACTTTATATAATACATATTAATACTGTGACACTGAGAGGCTAGGTTAGCCGCGGGGGCGATACGCCCCCCCCCCCTCCTCCACCGGAGGCTATAGGCTGAAGCCCCACAGGCGACTTAAACCCCGGCACACGTTGCGTCATGCGTCGCGCTATGACGCATGACGCCGCGTGTCATGACCCATTAGGCGGAGGAGGCGGCCATGGAAGAGCAGACGGAGCTCACGGCCATGCTTACCCCCATCACCCCCCTTCACACTCCCACGACTCCATCAGGTGAGCTCTTATAATAGCGGTAATAATAATAGCGGTTTCAGCGTTCAATAGGCCGTAAGCCTGTCGCCGATTCTTAATATCTCAGAACATTCACAGCTTGTTGCGGTCTCGAACTCGCAACTCACTGCTACAATTCTGCTGTGCGTAACCGCCCGGCCTCCTCGCCGATTCTGACCAGAAACTGGCGCACAGAGCTGGGATCGAACCCGCACCTCTCTGCTCCAATCCTGGTACGTACTCTGTACAGTAACAACTGGTTCACCCTGCTGTAACCTGCGGCCACCCTGCTCCTGATCACTTTTCTCACCCCACGTCGAGGCGAGAGGGCCAATGGCTCCCTCTGTGCAATGGCCCTCTTTGTCTTCTATCAAATGGCCCTTTTCAAAGTGGCCTCGGCTGAGGAAGGGGGAAGTAGCCTCTGTCTTCAATGGGGACTAGACCGAATCAGGTGCTTGAGGCTGGGGGTGGGGGGCTGGACTTTTGCCTTAAAGTATATCACGTAAACTTCTTACATCAGAGGAGAAATCGGTAGGAAAAGGCACGTTGACCCACCAGGGCCTGCGCTCTTTGCCACAACCCCTCACGAGTAATAAGTACCCTGGCTAACGTACATCACTAAGGCAGTTCACCCCGTTAGTTCCTCAGAGTACCGTACTAATGTACCTCGCTAAAGTACGAGTATGGAGACCATCTCACCAGGTTATGATATCATCCTTCCCTCGACTCCCACAACACCGGCTAGACATCACACATTAGGACTTGTAACCTTACTGCCAAGTGCTCTTCCAACCTTGGACTTCACCTACGCAGCCTTACGCCCACACGGCCAAAAGTTGTAACTTCCCCCATAACTTTACCCACAAAACTGTGGTCCGAGCGATGCTGGTCTTACTGACGCTATGTCGGCTTCCTGACGTAACCGGTACCAACAACCAACATCCCCCGCAAACATACCCCACGGAAGACCCTCCATAACAATCCCCCATCAGCGTACCACACTGAATTTACCCATAACGTAACGTAGCATACTAAGGTCCCCAATCACCATCTCCCATCACTAACTAACGTCCCCATCACCAACTAACGTCCCCATCACGGTCCCGCAGACCAGCTGGACGGGTGCTACGTGTGGCTGCGTACGGGTTGCCGGGACGACCGCCTCAGCCTCGCCGCCCGCTACCGCCTCCTCGAGATCATCGAACTTCGCGCCATGAACTGGCGACCGAACCACAACCTGGTCACTTACTACCAGAACAAGCTGCAGCACATCGAGGTAACTACCACAACCTGGTCACTTACTACCAGAACAAGCTGCAGCACATCGAGGTAACTACCACATCCTGGTCACTTACTACCAAAACAAGCTGCACCACATCGAAGTGAGTGCCGCGAACTGGCATTTTTTGCTCACATACGAATTCGAAGGTTTATGGGTTTAATTATTCCTCATGGTTACGAGCAATGGTTCATTATGCCCCATGCTTATGGATAATTTCCAACCGATTTAATTCTGTCCCAGGCGGAGGAGGCGGCCATGGAAGAGCAGACGGAGCTCACGGCCATGCTCACCCCTATCACCCCCCTTCACACTCCCACGACTCCTTCAGGTGAGCTCTTGATCACCCTTCTCACCCTACGTTGAGGCGAGAGGACCAATGTCCCCCTTTGTGGAATGGCCCACTCTGTCTTTTATCAAATGACTCTTTTCAAGATGACCTCTGCTAAAGGAAGGGCCTCTGTTCTAGTCCCCATTCAAGAATGGGGACTAGACCGAATCAGGCGCTTGAGGCTGGGGGTGGGAACTGGACTTTTGCCTTAAAGTATATCACGTAAACTTCTTACATTAGAGGAGAAATCGGTAGGAAGAAGGCACGTTGACCTACCAGGGCAGGCGATCGGTATGGGTCGTCGAAGATATGTGGACATCCGGGGGGTTTGCGGGTCACAGGAAAATGAGGTGGTGATGTGACTGCAGGAGGTGCTGTGCGTGCAGTGAATGGATTTTTCTTTACATTGCAGGTGGTGTCTTCCAGCCGCAGATTGCAGCAGCAGCTCCTGCATCTCTCCAATTCACGACCTACGCACAGCCTGGCCTACTGCCATCTGCACAGCCTGCACTCCTACCATCTGCACAGCCTGGCCTCCTACCATCTGCACAGCCATTGCTGTTCACCGGCCAGTACCAGCAAACCCTCCTGCCCCTGGACCAGTACCAGCAGCAGGCACAAGGTAGGTAAAAGCAGTAGCAGGTTCAAATCAGTTATTTCTCCTAACCAGAAATTCAAAGATGTGCCGCATGTATTAAGAAATATATTTTATATGAATAAGTATACTATAAAGCACACGATATAATTTGTACGTGATCAGAAACGTTTACAATAAAGGTCAAACGATGCAGCAATTGCCAATTAGCAATTCTTCACCCAACACATAACGCATTTACAACTTACATTTTAGATATAAATCTTTCTGCAAATTTTGATAAAGCTGAATAACTCATAATGATGCATTTCACTTATTATTGTAATGAAATTTTGACTCAAATGCCAATATCGTAATAAATAATACTCACATTATAGTGGGCACTGGAAAAGCATTTTAATTTTTACAACACTTCTCTTTAACTTCACTTCTTGTTTGNTGTATCATGCTGGTTTTTTAATAATATTGAATACTATTAAGTAAAATCTAAAGGCTTTATCTATAAATGTAGCGGTAGCGCTGTAGCGGCAAAACCTCGTAACGCTACTTAAATATGTAGCGGGCGCTACCGCTACCGCTACAGCTACATTGCCATAAATGTAGAGTCGCTACCGCTACCGCTACTGAAAATGTAGCGGCCGCTACATGTAGCGCGCTACTGCCCACCTCTGTATACTATATAGCACATGATATAATTTTTACGTGATCAATAACGTTTATTATAAAGGTCAAACGATGCAGCAATTGCCAATTAGCAATACTTCAACCAAAACATATACCTACAATTTACAGGTTAGTTTTAAATCTCTCGGCAAACTTTGATCAAGCCGAATAACTCATAATGATGCATATGACTTATTATTGTAATGAATTTTGATTCAAATGCCGAAATCGTTGTAAATTTTGCTCAAATTATACTGGGCACTGGAAAAGCATTTTAATATTTTGGAAATGTTTCTGCAAAAGTTTTAAGTAGTTTGGGTGACGAATGATCCTAAGTCACGTTTTCTGTTTCAAAGTTTTAGAAAACGTTTTTAGGACCAACTCCTCAGTTACGAAATTCTGAAAACTACTGACCCAAAAAGACCGATTAATCCTCACATATTAGAACTTTCTTCCGAGTTCGATTTGCTGTTCATTATCAGTAAAGTTCTTACTGATAACGTTAACGTTTGTTTGTTATTTTGTCTTGGTTTAAAATCTGAATTCCGTTGAAAATTTCCGATTGTCTTTAGGACCCTGCCTCAATACAACGGAATTGTTTAAGATTAAGTTGTTATACCTTATACGTTACATTTTGAGCGATTTAATTTTGTTCAATGCACTGATCCTGCATGTATTATGCCTGTTTCTTATTATTTTGTTGTCGAATTATGAAGAAAGCTCGATAACATTCAACATTTATATATTTCAGAACTCTGGATGTTAGGTCTATAGCGAAGACACGATTCGTCATCAACTTACTTCTAAAATAATTATCGTTTAAAAATATATTTTATATTTCTCTTTAATAATTAAAATCTATTCCCTCCCCCCTGACAGTGTTGGCAGCTCCCCTGCTCTCACCAGGGGAGTTGGTGCGCAACTCGGGGAAGTTCACGAAGCCCACGCGCATCGCGGGGAAGACTTACTGCAAGGATGAAGTGGTCATCCGCAACCAGGACTCCGGCAAGGGTGGGTGCTGGGGGAGGAGGGTGGGTTCACTGCACTATGACGGTTACTGTAGGAAAACCCACTCGAGGAAGAATATATTGTATATTTTTAACTGCTTTTTTATTATACACTTGTATATCGTGCGCTTGGCACCGCATTACACAGGTGATAATATGGCGCGTACCCGCAATACTTATTGTGTCGGGATATCGGGACACTGACGCACAGTATTACTTACCGTATCAGGTCAGGTCAACTCTGTATTTTTAGCGCATTTTCTCATTTATGGAAAAAGGCGCTATTGTGCTCGCCATATCCGTCTGTCTGTCTGTCCGTCCGTCCGTCTATCCGTGACTTCACATTTTCGTCGACGAGAAAATGCGCTCTCTGTCACTCACTGCAGTGAGTTATATTGTGTATTTTTTAACTGCCTTCTTATTAGCGCATTTTCTATTTATGGAAAAAATGCACTTTTGTGCTCGCCATGTCCGTCCGTCCGTTTGTCTGTCCGTCCGTGACCACGTTTTCGTCGACGAAAAATGCGCTCTCTGTCACTCACTGCAGTGAGTACTGAGTTATATTTTTTGTAGGGTGAGGCTTGCAAAAAGTGTTCAGAATACGGAATAAAAATTAAAATAAAGTTGGTGCTTGGTGCGTACTCGTAACTAATTCGTTGTTGCGTCTGTTGCAGTGATGGGCATCAAGGGCCGACGAGTGCACATGATAGAGGAGCTGTCGGAGACCATCATCTCCTTCCAGCGAGGTGGGTGATGGTGGTGTGGTGGTGTGGTGCAGGCCTGATGTGAGATGCAAGGTGGACCAGTGGTTCAAGTTCAGAGTACCAGGAATGGAGGAGAGGTGCGGGTTCGATCCCAGCTCTGTGCGCCAGTTTCTGGTCAGAATCGGCATGCAGGCCTGATGTGTAGTGCACACCTGATGTGTGATGCAGGGTGGACCAGTGGTTCAAGTTCAGAGTACCAGGAATGGAGGAGTGAGTTGCGTGTTCGAGACCGCAACAAGCTGTGACTGTTCTGCAATTTTAAGAATCAGCAACAGGCCTACGGCCTAATGAACGCTGAAAACTGCTTTGGTGTGGTATATGATAGACATGATTTGATATAATATTTGCTTCATTATACACATGACGTATGAGCTACAACAGAACTATTATTACTAAAATATAATATATTCATGAAACCCCCACCCCCTCAGTGGCCCCAGGGGCGCGTGAGAGGCTCGTGCAGATCACGGGCCCCACCGAGGAGAGCATCAGGTGGGGCCAACTCTTGTATTTAATAAGTTATTGCATTTCCTAAGCTCTTGCATTTCCTAAGTTCTTGCAGTTTCTCAAGTTCTTGCATTTCCTAAGTTTATATATTTCATAGGTTCTGGTGCATCCTAAGTTTTTGCATTGTCCAATTTCTTGCATTGCCGAGTTCTTTCATTCCCTAAACTCATGCTTCAACCATGGCTGCCTTTTAGACTTCGTATTTCTTTCTTCCCACGAATCTTTTTTCCATCAAGGAAAATTTATTCAAAGCATAATTAGCTTTTAAATTCATTAGGTTTATAGTTTGACCTTCAGTGGCTGTTGTAGTTAGCAATATGTTTGGCACCTTGGTTCCGTTTATTTTTATTCAAAGACGGTTTGAAATAATTAGGTCGACTTTGAGTGAACATTTTAGATTCTATCGTTAGACTATAGATAGCCCACTATCTAGACTCAACTGCTTTTATCTTGACACAATAGCGCCTATTTTGAAACGATAACCTTTATCTTGACAAGATAACCTTTATCTTCACACGATAACCTATATCTTGACACGATAATCTTTATCTAGACACGATAACTTTTATCTTGACGCAATAACCTTTATCCTGACGCGGTAACCTTTACCTGACATGACAACCAATATCTTGATACGATAACCTAGTTTTATCTTGAGACGATAAACTTTATCTTGACAAGTTAACCTTTATCTGACACGACAACCAATATCTTGACACGATAGTTCCTATATTGTAACACAGTAGAACCTAACTTGAAAATATAGCTCCTATTTTGACACGATAGCTCTTATTTGACACGATAGCTCTCAGTTTGACACGATAGCTCTCATTTTGACGCGATAGCTCTTATTTTGATACGATAGCTCTCAGTTTGACACGATAGCTCTCAGTTTGACACGGTAGCTCTTATTTTGACACGATAGCTCTTATCTTGACGCGATAGCTCTTATTTTGACACTATATCTCTTATCTTGACACTATATCTCTTATCTTGACACGATAGCTCTTATCTTGACACGACAGCTCTTATCTTGACACGACAGCTCTTATCTTGACACGATAGCTCTTATCTTGACACGACAGCTCTTATCTTGACACGACAGCTCTTATCTTGACACGACAGCTCTTATCTTGACACTATATCTCTTATCGGGACACTATATCTCTTATCTTGACACGACAGCTCTTATCTTGACACGACAGCTCTTACCTTAACACGATAGCTCTTATCTTAACACGATAGCTCTTATCTTAACACGATAGCTTTTATATTGACACGATATCTCCTATCTTATCGCAGCCAGGCAAAGCAGCTGATCGAGGACACGATAAGGCGCAACGCGTCGCCTGTCCGTGAGGCGCTGAGCCTCAGCAGCGGCGGCTCCTGCACCTTCAGCAGCAGCCCTCTGAACGGCAGCACCTCCAGCATCGCCTCCCACACTGACGAGGACACGTCATCCCTTAATGGTGAGTGACGAGGACACGTCATCCCTTAATGGTGAGTGACGAGGACACGCCATCCCTTAATGGTGAGAGACGAGGACACGTCATCCCTTAATGGTGAGAGACGAGGACACGTCATCCCTTAATGGTGAGAGACGAGGACACGTCATCCCTTAATGGTGAGAGACGAGGACACGTCATCCCTTAATGGTGAGTGACGAGGACATGCCATCCCATATTGATGACTATATGTTAGTTACCCCAATAAAGTAATACTTGATTATTTTCTATGTAGTGTCTCTTAGAAAATAATCTTCTAGCACAAACTCTGATAAAAAAATCGTGAGGCTGTTTCCGAAGCTACCAAATCTTTTCTAATTTAACCCGACACAGATCATCAAATAAAAATGTCTCATCATGTCCTATAAAATATGATTCTTATGATTTATACTTTATTTACCTTTTTATATTGACACAAATACCTAAATTGTGATATTAGACGTATAATTTATGCTCAGTCAAACTTGACTGTAAATTAGTGTTGGTCTGTTTAATTTAATTGAATGCGAACGAATAAATTAATGAATAAAAATTAGTAAATTAATGACTGTTTTACCCAGGTTGTCGCCGCGGCGCCGGAACTCAGGCGTCGCCCTCAGGGGGCGACAGCGTGGGCGACTACCGCTACACCGTCGCCCACAACTCCAACGCCGTCCGTATAACTGGCACCAACCTCACCATGGTCAGGGTGAGTGTAGGGTGAGGGGCGGCAGCGTCACCATGGTCAGGGTGAGTGTAGGGTGAGGGGCGGCAGACTCACCATGGTCAGGGTGAGTGTAGGGTGATGTGGTGGATGACTCAGTCCTGCCGCAATCGTTTATCGTGTGTGCAGACCACGATATTATCGTGTGTTACCGTGTTTGTACGCCACGATGTTGTAGTTGTTATTGTGTATAAGCCACGATGTTATCGTGTATAAGCCACGATGTTGTCGTATGTTATCGTGTATAAGCCACGATATTATCGTATGTTATCGTGTATAAGCCACGATGTTGTCGTATGTTATCGTGTATAAGCCACGATATTATCGTATGTTATCGTGTATAAGCCACGATGTTGTCGTATGTTNGGAGGAGGCCTTGGGTGATCTGGAGGAGGCCTTGGGTGATCTGGAGGAGGCCTTGGGTGATCTGGAGGAGGCCTTGGGTGATCTGGAGGAGGCCTTCACACTTGGGACCGGTCCGGCGGGTGCCTGCATAAAAAATACGTCTCCACCCACAACGGGTGTAGGATGCCCGGAATTTTTTGGACGGTAGCAGGGCAGAGGCTGCTGCTGTCGTAATGAAATCCACTAAGCGGTAGCCATTGTCTACTCTCAGACAAGAGTTTATGGTTTATTTAGCAAGATCTTGCAAGATTTAGCAAGATTTTGAAAGATTTAGCAAGATCTGCGGTTATTTTCAGTATTTGCAGCGCAATTCATGTCTGAACTACGTAGTTTGCAGCTGATTTTAAGCATGACTAATTGTATGTGTACTCTTCTCGGCCATTTTGTAACCTATTCCTGTACATTTGTGTACAATATTGGTATTGTTTGGCAGAAGTTGTTCCTTGATTTAGATTGAAGATCACTTGTTCTTGTGAAGTTATTTTTGATGTTTAATAGTGATTACAAATGAAGTTTTTAATCACTATTGTTGATTATAATAACGAAATTTTCATTCACTATTGTAAAAATGTTGATGATGATTGTAACAAAGTTTTTAATGACTGTTGTTGATATGTTGATTATAAAAAGCGAAGTTTTTATTCACTATGTTGAGATGTTGATGATTGTAGCAAAGTTTTTAACCATTATTGTTGATTATGGAGACGATTATAATGAGGCTCTTAATTAATTAAATTTAGGGAGGTGGTGGAGGCAGCGGAGGCGGGGGGCGGCGCCCTGAGGACGCGGCGAGCGGCCTTCGCCAGGACCGTCGAGCAGCGCGCACAGCGTGAGTCACGCTTAGCAGTGATTATTTTTAGCGCATTTTATCATTTATGGAAACAAAAGGCGCTATTATGCTCGCCATGTCCGTCTGTCCGTCCGTCTGTCTGTCCGTGACTTCACGTTTTCGTCGACGAGAAAATGCGCTCTCTGTCACTCACTGCAGTGAGTACTGAGTTATATTTTTTATGCTTATTTATAATTAACTGTTTGAGATTTAAGATTTATTTGCTTTGAAATTTATTGAAGCTTGCATGAAAATTGTGTGGGTTGATAAGCGCTGGCGCGGCTTCACCACCACCATTTCCTCCAGCCCTTGAATGATTTTTTTTCTTGCTCAGTCGGAGCGACGCAAATAAAATTTCTTACGAGTTTATCATGATAATTTTCTCTAGAAATTATTTCAAACACAAACATATTGAAAAACGAAAGAAGGAACTTCATTCCCGCATTTTTTTCTTGAAATAAATTTTTGCGTAGAAATTTCAGAATTTTTTTAATGGGAGCACCCCACCCCATCAGCCGGGGGTGGAGGGATGGGGAAGGGTGCTGGTAGTGGCCGTTGCCAGCTGACAACCAACGACCGTTTAATTAGTAGCCAGTTGCCAGGACGATTAAACTTGCCTCAAGCGTTTCCAAGCGGCTGCGAAATCCATCCAGCATTAATCGCTGCCGTTAACTATTAGTTATCAAATCAATTAGCTTAACTACCGAGAAAAGAGTAAATTTGTTCTAAAATTAGAATAACCTATATTCCATCAATCCAACATTCAAAATTAGAAACAATTCACTAGTTTTTCAACAACTAACGTGTCACAAACGCGTCTGCAACACGTCAAGAACGTGTCACATAAAACGCGTCCAGAACATGTCACTAACGCGTCTGTTATGGGCGCAGCGAGCGGTAGTGGTGATGGGGCGCAGGGAGGTGATGGTGGTGGTGAGCCGCGGCGCTACAGCCGCGCGGCACTCGTGGCGCTCGCCGCCGCCCCCGCCAGCCGCCGCACCCCCGCCACGTGGGGGACGGTCGTGCGCACCACCCCCGACCTCCTCAAGAAGGTCGTGTGTGTTGCATGTGTGTGTAAAGATGTGTGTTAGTGTGTGGAAGTGTGAATTTATTTACGAGGTGGTTCGCGTTTTCGCGTTTCTGTCACTGAATGTTTGTTGTCTGTATTTTTTGTAATACGATTATTTGTGTATGCTTCCGGTTGTGTTGTTTAGCTCTGTGTGAAGACTGCGCAATTGCGCTGTTCATTTGCATTGAAGAACGTTGAAATTGCAGATTAAATAAAACTTGAAATATGAATCAACAACTCAATACATTCACCATGACTAAAAATTAATCCATGTCCCATATATATAAAATGATCTTATTCAACCAGTTGAGGATATTTCTTATGAGTGAATATCATTGAATTATTATGGAATTGTTATAAATTATAAGTGAATAACGGTGAATTATTTCCACGTTGAAGACATTGTAATCGCGAGTTTATTTTGCAGGGCTCGGTCTATCAGGCCGGAGTGGTGGCGACCATGAATGAGCACGGCGAGTCATCCATCAACGGGGCACCCACCTACCTCAAGGTTTACTCACCCACCTACCTCAAGTTACTCCCCTATATCGGAGTCACGTATAGTTACGTTCCACTCATTATACTTGCATTTTGCACAAGTTTATTTACGATTTCATTTTCGAAGTCGCGTATCCCTACATTATAATCAGTACATTATAATCAGTACACATTTTGCACAAGTTTACTTACGATTTCATTTGTCCCGCAGCCCAGCGATCTGCTCTTCGTGAACGAGCAGAAGAAGAGCGCTGAAGGAGGGAAGTGAATCGTGGTGAAGTGCATTGAAGTGACGTGAAGGGAAGAGCGGTCTTGGTTTAATCCTCAATATACCATCTATCACGTGAATAGAGTTAAGATTTATACTTCATAACGTCGTCAAAATTAGATAATCTATATATTTTCCAGATTCATGTTTTTTCATGTTGCTCTTGAATTTATAGCTATGGTGATGGTTAAATCAATCTAACAAACAACGGCATATCCGATAAAAGGGTAAAGGGAAGCTCAAAGTTTGGTCAGCAATTATTTACACTTAGAGAAATGAGTGAAATCTGTCCCAATAGCAATGCACTTTTTAAGCTTGCGTGGGTCATTCTGACCCAGTTTCTCCCGGCAAAAGTTTTCGATGGACCTTAGGTAAGAACGTGTTTCGCTATTTGAACATGAACTATCTATTTTCAGAGTGTAGAGACGTTATAAGAAACAAATGAAGAAAATCAAACCACGTAGTTTTGTGTAGCCTGTCAACCCCCCATCATCTTGCGAGGCGAATAGTTATATATTATCGAACGCCTTATATATATAAGACTTGTTGTTATTGTTTCATGTTGTTACAGCAACCTCATCTTGAAACACGTTATGTTATACTCGTTATGTTTGTGCTCGATACTGTCTAACTTTTTTGGCCATTCATGTTTTTATTTGTTCAAAAATTTTAAGCGAATAATTTTTTTTTGGTCGAAAGTTTCTTTCGATTGGTTTTGTGTGAATGTGTCGGTTAAACGCTTATAACAATTCACGTTTTTGCATAAATTTGTCGGTCAAACGTTTTCTAAAAATTCATGATTTGTTCATAAGGGAGGCGTTTCTTTCATTTTGTTTTTATTTGAATTTAAGAGCGTTGGCGTGCATGAAATTTATTTGCTATCTCGTCTTGACTAAGTTTTAGCCTTGTCGTTATAACAGACTAAATATTAACAATATAATCGTTTATAATCTGCTGAGGGCAGACGGAACTCCTTTCTATTTTTTTGCTTACGTTGAAACAATTCCTCATTACCGATTTTGCCGTCAATTGCTTCATAGAGATTCATTTTTCAATTATTAAGCTGCGATTTAATGTGAAGATTGAAATCCTGTTTGATATATTGATTTAATCCAATTAAAATTTGTTAACGTTTGCACCATTGATGATATCATCGCTTTTCACTCGCCCATTGAAATGGGTGAATGGAGTCAATGGGTTGGAGACCAATTGTAACGAGTGAATTCAATGGTTTTCCCAACCATTGTATAATGGCCGAGTGAATTCGTTGGTTTTCACCCGTTATAATATTGAGTAAATTCAATGACTTTTCACCCATTATATGGGAGATCAAGCCCCAACAATCCCCACCTGCAGTTATATATTTTTCCTCGTGTCTAAGTACTCGAATAGTTTATGTTGTCGTAGGTGTTAAGTTTGTGTAGTTTGTGTAGACGCGTTGTAGTTCTGCAGTAACTTATTGTATTCTCTTGTATAGTAAGCGCACGTGTAAAGTATTTATTTCTTCCTATCTTTAATGAAGATGTTATTACCTGTATTAATTCTGTGTATTTTCCGTATGAACTGCCACGATTACTACATCGTGAATTTGCGAATTTTTAGTTTAGGCTTGAATTTTTGAGGGGTGCGCATTTTTTTGCATGAAATATAGTTCCTCTTAAGGGCGCCTGAAGGGGTGAAGGGCGGCTCTTTGCCAGTCTAAGCGCCCTTCATGTTGCTTTTTTCTAACCATTCAATATACATTCACATGATTATCATTCAAATATAAATTATCATTCAATTCAGTAAACTCCAAATGATTATCACCAGTTTAAAAGACGCAGTTAAGAATGCAATAACATCGAGCTAATATTTGCCATTACCAACCGCCAAAAACATATTTTTGAATGTTTTGAGAGAAAATTTTCCTCGTGATTTTTTACAAAAATTTCTTTCAAGCCAGCGAAAAGTTCATGAATTTCATGACCCGAGCGAAGAGATCATATGTGTAGTTATCGTCTATCCTGTTTAGTGTATTGTGTAGTAATAAACAGAACTATTGTGTCCAGCTTTGTATATGCATGCGTGTTTTTTGACGGAGTTCACATACTGTTAATTTATTAGCTAGCTTCTCTTTAGTTAGAATTACGAGCACAAAATATGTTATTTGTTATCGTCTATCGAACTTTCTTGCTATTGTATCGCTCCAGAAATTACCTACGTGTCTTGTGGGTATTCCTAGTTGTGGGTATTTCTGATGTGTTAAGACAAAAAATGCCTTTTCATGTTGCAAGCTTTTCATTACAGGCATGTCTGAGATGTTTGTATACGAAAATACCGTGTTCAGCTATTCAATAATTCATCATCCTATGTTACGACTGTTACTTTTGTAATCAATTCGGATTTCTCGCTAATTTTCTGGAAACATTTTACTATTTGTGTAAGGTTAGATCATCGGTTGTTGGATTTGGTAAGATCGGTAAAAAGTGTCTATGATTTTCTGGACGACTTTCGACTATTTTAGCTGCATTTTAATGAAGATAAGGCAGCTGCTGGGTTTTCACATATTGTTATGACTGCGTATTTTGCACATTTATTCTCGAACATTGTAATTCTCATTCCCCTTATCTCGCTCCTCCTCTTCCTCTAGTCTTCCTCACGGCAGCTCACGGATCATAATTATATAAACGTTATTTAATCAGCCACGCGTTATTATTTTGGTCCTCCAGTTAGCCACATTCTCATAACCAAATCCAGCGTCGTCAGTCGCGACGTACAAGTTAGCCTAGCCAACGGCAAGACTTGCAACCACTGCTAATTATCCGCACATTCAGAACAGGTGCACGGTAAGTCATCGGGTTTACAGTACAGGATGGTTTCATACAGTAATGGTTAATGAATGTTTAATAAAAACCTTCCTTGTAATATCCTCACGGAGTTCGTTGTGGACACCGCCTACACTGATGCACCACCTTCGATGCTCATCATTCACTACCCACCAGCGACACCGAAAAATAAATTAACGTGGCTGAAGGTTCGAACCAACGACTTNCTGTGTTATAGTAGCAACCAGGCACCACAACCACCGCACCACACCACACCACCACACCACTCCAGTATACCTGGTATTACGGTCCTGGTCGCTAATCTTCTCACCACACCACATCACACCAGTATACCTGGTATTACGGTCCTGGTCGCGTATCTTCTTCTCCATCTCAGCGTCGGTGAGAGTCACACCACCACCACACCACACCACACCAGTATACCTGGTATTACGGTCCTGGTCGCGTATCTTCTTCTCCATCTCAGCGTCAGTGAGAGTCTCCAGGAAGGGGCACCAGGCGTCCGCCTCACCAGCCGACCTGAACGGCACCTCCACCACCGGCAGCGGCGACTCGCTGCACATGGCAAATATATATTATTATATTTTAATTAATAAACATTGTATAGTATACATTTTACTTATAGTCAAAGGCTGGCAATATATATTATATTTTCAATTACTAAATATTATATGATTCTGATTTGACCTAGGTATAGTTAAAGGCTGGGTATATATTATTATATTTTAAATTACTTATTATTATATAATGAACATATTTCATATTATACTACACTGGGGGAGCCAAATAATATTCTACACTCAGAAAATTTTAGAAACTAAGCATAAATGTCGATACACTTCTTGTCCAGGGCTGGGTGAGCCATCCTGACCCAGTCTACCCCGGCAAAAGTTATCAAGGCTACATGAACTAAAAGTATGTACTGTTTTGGACAATATGACCCGTTCATTTTCTAGAATGTGCACTGTATTGTATATCAGACTAGCAAGTTAGTCCGTCGTTGCCCCGGCTCGATTATTATGGCAATAATAATATAATAGAGATAATTGAAATAATAAAGATTATCTAGTCTAATTCAAGAATTCAAGATTGACTTTCGTTTCAAAATATAGAAAGATTATTTGTTTCTTTTAGATTTAATTCAAAATTACCAATTTAAAAATTAAACTACACTTTCTTGTTCGTTTTTGGTGCTCACCTAAACAAGTAGGTGTGCTGGTGCTCACCTAAATGCGTAGGTGCGCTGGTGCTCACCTAAATGCGTAGGTGCGCTAGTGCTCACCTAAATGCATAGGTGCGCTGGTGCCAGGACAGCTGCCCCCTGATAGAGTACGCTATGGCCGTGACAAACTCGCCCCCCAGCCCCAGCTCGGCGCACAGCTTCGTCGCGAACTCCTCAGGGTTGTTGCTGGGGTCGCCCATGTCCCACTCGAACTGGTCGTTAAGGCTGATGTTGCCCACGTGGATGTTTAGCTGTAATAACAATTATTGTTGTAGTGTTCAGTTGTAATCACATTGCAACATCAAGAATGTGGTGTACTTGTGATAACATACAAACATTAGNTGTTCCGCAGTTTGGTGCCCTCCATGTCCCCCAGCAGCACCTACCGTTCCTGTTCCAGGTGAAGGTGTCCCGCAGTTTGGTGCCCTCCATGTCCCCCAGCAGCACCTACCGTTCCTGTTCCAGGTGAAGGTGTCCCGCAGTTTGGTGCCCTCCATGTCCCCCAGCAGCACCTACCGTTCCTGTTCCAGGTGAAGGTGTCCCGCAGTTTGGTGCCCTCTATCTCCATGTCCAGCCTGATAGGGACGAGGTCGTCCGACTGCTCCGCATTGTCCTGCAGTAGCCCAGGCTCCAGGTCATCGTAACTGCGAGATAAATTTAACTTTAATGTATTGTCGTTGAATAATATATCACTTATTGATAACGTCACATACTAAGTCACTCATAGAACATGAACTCGTATGTACATGCATTAATTGGATACCAATTGATGTAGGTAGTTTCTACAGAGCATAAGCAATATTTTTAACAAGTGTTAGTGTGTTCTAAGTCAGGCACCACTTATATATAATCCAGGATACTTATCGTGTCAGGATATTACCTGCACCTAAAAAGTTAGTGAGAGAATAGCAAGGCGTTGTTAAACTGGTAGGAAAGGATTGGACCAAAAATTGAAATTTAATGCAGAAAAAAATCAATTGTTCATATTTTAGAACGGGTGTCAACAGTGCCCTTTTTCAACAATCATACATTGACCAAATTATCATTAACAGATTCATGATACCGGAATTCAACCTCTTACAATGCTGGGCAAACCTGCTCATTATCTCATATTTGCCAGTGTATGTGTTGAAGCATCAACTCAGTGCTATAGTGCGGTGATTATCGTTGCACCACAACTCACCACATGAAGAAGGTGTGCACTTTTATTGAACTACACAACTCACCACATGAAGAAGGTGCGCACTTTCTTATTCACCACCACACAACTCACCACATGGGGAAGGTGCGCACTTTTATTGCACCACACACACCACACAACTCACCACAAGGGGAAGGCGCGCACTTTTATTGCACTACACAACTCACCACATGGGGAAGGTGCGCACTGTTATTGCACCACACAACTCACCACATGGGGAAGGTGCGCACTTTCTTATTCACCACCCTGTTCCTATTGATGGGTGTGGCCTGGGGGACTGCGTCCAGGTGGGAGAAGTTGGACATTGTTGGCACCCACGGGGTGGCGGGCTTCTTCACAGGGGCCAAACTGGGGGAAGTTTTATAGACTATATATATCCATGGAACAAATCATATTTAAAAACGTAAAGCAACTACATATGAAACAGGACAGATTTGAAGCAGCTCATTACTTGTTCATGGGTGCCCCATTGGGAGAAGAAAAAGCCAGATTCCTTTGACTATTCTATCTCTTGCAATAAATTCGTATTATTAGCACAATGTTTCTTTAGGACAGCACAGATTCTGTTTAGGTATCTATATGTACATACGTACTTCAGGTTTACACCCTTCAGATATAGGTACATCACTCAGAACTACTTCTGTTAAATACACCCTTAGATCTACATCCTTCAGATATACATCCATCAGATACACATGTTTCAAATATAAATCCATCTCAAATACATCCTTCAGATATTCATCTGTCAGATATATATAAATTTTTAGGGAATACCGGTACATCTGTCAGATACACAAGCTCTGGCTATACAAGCAACACCCTTAACTCACGACTTGGTGGCACTAGAGTCTGCATCAGTAGGCATTGTCGAGCGCACAGACACTGCCTTGTACTTCTCCTCCCCGCCCTCGATGACATCTTCCACCTCTGACAGCCGCAGCAGTGATATGTTTGATGCCAGCACATGCTGGGACAGTCCTGGAATATAGGTACATCATTAATCATAATGACATCTGAAATCATAACGATGTGTATGCCCTATGTTTGACACCAGCTCATGCTGGAAAAGTACTAATGTCACATGAATCATTACAATAATTTAACGAATTCATGGTACGTATTCAATTTAAGTCTGTCAATTTAAGTAAGGATTTGATGACAACCAGAGTATAATTTATATTAAAAACTTTCTTGTTGTATTTCTTGGCTTGTCAAATTTTCTACAATACAATGTTTTGAACACAAAATGCATAAAAGAAATACGTATGCTAAAGTATTCAAGTGTGTTAGTAAATATACACACAATTTATAATTCACAATTGATTAAAGTCACAATTGCCTGAAATATGGTCGTTTTACTCAACAATTAGATTATCATCAAAAATGAATAACTTGTAATAAAATAAAGCTACATTGGGGGTTAACATTGTCCGGTAGAAAGGTAACAAGTATACTATGTTAGATGTTATGTTGAATAATCCTGTAGTGCAGACACAATTTTCTGAAATATTGTCTTCTAAGCAGTTTGAGTTCTCCAGTTTGTAAGCATAGACAAGTTATCAGGTGTATGATGCATTTATCACATGCAACTACCACATTTAAGTAGCTGAGCACAGAAAAAAAATTGATTGTTCTGGCAGTTTATTAATAGGTAAACTTACATACATCATTTAATAATTTCAAAATCATGCAAAACAAAGCAATGCCTGTGCAATAAAGTGATATTCAAATTTAATGTAATGTAATCCCCATTTCTGGCCAGGGTTTGAGACTTGGTGAATCTCTGTAGACTCCTTACCAGAAAATTAGCAGAAACAATGTTGTCTATGTTCTCTTCATATTGTTAAATATTCACATTAGCAGAACAATAAATATTTAGAGATTTCCAATAATTTTGGCCATTGTAGCGGTTAATGTAGCGCGCTACATTTTACTGTAGCGGTAGCGCCCGTTACAATCTAGTGGGTGTAGCGGTAGCGGTAGGGCCCGCTACATTGAGAGCATGTAGCGGTAGCGGTAGCGCCGCTACATTTCCAAGTAGCGCTGCCCAGCTCTGATCATTTAATAATTTCAAAATCATACAAAACAAAACAATGCCTGTGCAATAAAGTGATATTCAAATTTAATGTAATCTAAACCCCATTGCTGGCCAGGGTTTGAGACTTGGTGAATCTCTGTAGACTTCTTACCAGAAATTTAACAGAAACAATGTTGTCTGTCTATGTTCTCTTCATATCGTTAAATATTCACATTTGACAGGTGATTTTAAATTTTTTTCATTTTCCTCCTTTTTTCATGTCAATTTAAGGTTTTAATTCTATTCAACAAACCTTGGTTCATGACCAAAGTTTCTTTTGTTAACAGTCTTCCTTTTTGGGATTCTAAAATTGGCTGAATTTTCCTCCATCTCTGGCATACAACACATAACCTCAATAAAGAACGTTTATAAATTAATCCCAACTCCCAATAAAAAATCTTTATCTTCAAAGTAGTCCAGCATGGCAATTGCTTCATTTGGATATCAGCGGTCAAGAGCCTATAAATGAGAGCACAGCAGCAACCCATGCCACAAAAAACAAATAATAGATACTACAATGCACCTTACATGCAGCACAACACTTGCCTAGTTCTATAACCCTACAAATAACACCACAGACAGCCCACAACACAACCAAGAAATAAATAGCACATGGCACAAAACACTCACCAAGTTCTATAAGCTTCTTGCGCTCCTCATTGGTAATGGTGCGTCTGTGCATGCCAGGGTATTTCTTGTACAGAGACCCCCGGAAGAGACGCAAGTAATTTCCCACCTGCAAAAAACAAAAAAAAATCCCACCTAATTAAAAACATGCTAATAGTCAGATATTTCTTTCAAATGTGTCAGAAAGTTTGATGAAAATGTAAGACTTCAAGTAAACAAATTTTTTTACTCTGGCAATAACTCTTGTTTGCTCTATTCATATCCACAGAAAACCCCGATATAATTATGATCCCTGACAGCTCCTCATCAAGCATTCAAATGAAATTTTTAAAAACTATATATCTATAGGTACATTTTATTCAACGCAATAACCAGGTAGCCAGATTAATGAGTAACAAAAAACTTAATCTAGCAAACAATTCAATATTTTCTAATAATTATGTTTCTTTCTCATTATGCACTGGCAGAATTGAGTCAGAAGAAAAATTAATGGATAGATTCATGTGCTACACTAAGTTTGGCAATAGGTATCCTGACATGAAGCCAACTCACCTCAGATCCAATGCACCAGTACTCGCCACTGTCTTCCAGCTGGAAACTAATGGGTTTATCTCCATATGTTTTAGCCATTGTAGTTTTTTAGTTTTAAGATTCAGGTAATTGCACAAATAATCTAATATTTTTATTCTGATCAAACCTGAAATAAAAGATACTGATGAACATACCACACATTTTGGCTAGCATAAATAGTAGAGGGAAATGATATATTTGATCAAGATCAGGTGATGTGTTACAAATTTAACGCCACAAGAATAAGCTATTCTTTTTGTATTATTAATAAGGTGTCATAAATTATAAATTATCTATAGGGAACTGCCCCAGTGAAAAACTTACTATGAGAACATTTTTTTTACATGGTTTTAACCATTGTGAGTGAAAAAGTCCAAACTAAACTTATATAATTCAGGGTCTGTACCAATATTTAGAAAAAAATTTCATGACTTTTCCATGACCTTGTTCTAGTAATCTTTGAATTTTAACTGAAAAGAGGGTAGTCAGCGCAGCAGAACCAAACTTTGCCAGAACATGTACCGTCAAATGGGGTAAAAAGGGACGGTTTTGAGCGTTTTTTGTTTATAACTTCTTACCGTGAAACATTTCAGAAACAAGTTTAGGCTCATTCTATAGCTCTTTGCAAGGGCTACCGTCAACCGGGGCTACTCGGGACAGTTTTGAGCGTTTTTTGTTAATAACTTCTTACAATGAAACATTTCATAAACAAGTTTAGGCTCATTTTATAGCTCTTTGCGAGGGCTATTGCATGGCATCTTCAAAAAAATTCCATATGCTATTTGTAAGGTGCCAGAAGCAAAAAAAGAGTGTCCCGAGTAGCCCCGTCGAACGGGGCTACTTGGGACACTGGGAATGAAACTTCATTTTAAAACACTTGAAGCATGCAGAGC